TGATTTTCGTAATGGTGAGGTGTAGTGTTTTCTTCGCGGTACGGTCTGGATTCGTAAATATTATGAAGACGAGCTTCGGCTTCGAAGGGTTAACCAGCTGATTTTCGTAATGGTGAGGTGTAGTGTTTTCTTCGCGGTACGGTCTGGATTCGTAAATATTATGAAGACGAGCTTCGGCTTCAAAGGGTTAACCAGCTGATTTTCGTAATGGTGAGGTGAAGTGTTTTCTTCGCGGTACGGTCTGGATTCGTAAATATTATGAAGACGAGCTTCGGCTTCAAAGGGTTAACCAGCTGATTTTCGTAATGGTGAGGTGAAGTGTTTTCTTCGCGGTACGGTCTGGATTCGTAAATATTATGAAGACGATCTTCGGCTTCAAAGGGTTAAGGAAGAGTCAATCACACGTCAAATCCTGTGCCCACAAGCGCCGAACACTTAAGTCGACTGTCAAACTTTACCGTCAGAAACACAATCCGTCTTGGGCACGATGTATTGGCTTTCCAAGAGAAATGCACAGCTCTGGGCTTTAGGATGTCTCGTGGCCTTAACAAAGACCACAGCGTCGGTTCTTAAGACGTTGACAGTAGAGCTCAAAACGCGTATACACAGCTATCTAGTCTACAGTTGTACGCCACCAGGTAAGCGACGAGAAGCGGTGACTACGAGATCCCTATCATCCGCTTATTCTGCTAGGTCAACATGATTATCATAAAAAACTTAACAGAAGAGGAATGGATTCAACCCAGGGTCACAGCCGCCTGCATGCCAAGTGATGATCTGGCTGATTTGAATGAGTTTTGAAACTTTTGGCAAATCACTGTGCCAAAATCTCTACCCCCATCCAGAAAAACCGAGGCAGTTGGCCACTTCTCGTCAAAGTTTCCCTTGAATCCTTCATAAATGCGTATCGTCTGCATCTGGTTCGAAGGTCCAACTGCTTAACGGCGTTCGTTTATTTACTGGAATACCCTAGTGACGAGGTCTCTAGGAAGAAGGGCGCTTGAGGTTACCCGGTTTTAGTGTGGACACCACGCGAGGGTGTTTCAATACCGAGTTGAAGTGCTACCTGCTGAGGACCGCGTTGAACACTTCCTTGAGAGAGTGTTTAACGCGCGCCTTGGCAGATGTCTCAGGACCCTTCAAAACATTGTCACTGTCCTTAGCGAGCGGTTCTAATCGTCCGGTCATCGGCTTCACGAGGCGGTGAACCGGGGATTTCAAGACGGGACGAGACATTTTGTTAGCGTAATGGCGTAAGGAAGCCACGGTGGTCTAGCGGTTAGAACGCTGGCCTTGTAATCCTGGGGTCTCGGGTTCGATTCCCGGCGGTGCCCGAATTTATAACTTGTGTTGGGCAAGGCCGTGGTCTAGGCAACACGGAGTTTTCCTCCCGGGCATCCCAACAATTACTCCATTCACACACAGAAGAAGGCAATGCCAAACCACTTCTGGATCATCTGCCAAAA